GCCTTTTTACGGACCTTTCTGAGCAGTGCTGTCAAAGGTCAACGATTTAGCCTCCAGAGGGCAAAAACTCTAAAAATAGCCGTTTTCACAACAAATGTTTTTCAGTAATGGCTTTTGACTCAGAAGAGCCACGATATCAATTTTGCCAGCATCGCGTTTCTCTCGTCGAGACGCGTCGAATGAGCTATACGGTGACCTTACAGGTCATTTGGAAGGTCATGACCTGACCGGAAAGGGTCATGTTGGATATCAGTCGATCCGTATCGTTGAGCTGAACACATCTGACGTGTTTTCACCGCTCCAGCACGTCTCTATCAAAAGTTATTACGAGCGAGCGAGCGCAACGAGCGAAGTGAGTCTTTTCAATATAACGGAAAAATCTCAGTATGAGCGGCCCGGCCCGGCCCGGCCCGGCCTGTAACGCTTTTGAGATGCTTATATCTCAGCAACCGCTGGACCGATTGGCCTGCGGTCTTTTTTGTTGGGTAGCCCCATCTCTTCTACCCCGTAATTTACTACTTTTGATACATCTCAGTGACCGTCGTGGCACGTGCCACGTGAAAAGTCAAGGGTGTTCAAGCTGTTTTGCAAAAGTAGTGATTTTGAGAGGCTCATATCTCAGCAGCCGCTTGGGCGATTGACTTGCGGTAATTTTTGAAGGGTAGCAGCATCCCTTCTACCCAAAATAGGATACTCTCGATGCATGTGGGTCACCCCCAGTGCACGTGCAAAATACAACAATAAGAGGTGCCAAATTTGTTCCCATTTCAGTAACTCGGTAATTACTGGGGCGATTTCGCTGAAACTTGGCACACAGGTAGGCACCCACCAGGCAATGCATTCCCATGTGTTGCGGTTAGGGTGCTACTGCACGTGTGCACGTGCAGGGGGCGTTTCCAGATCTCGAGAACGGCTGGGCCGATTGCGCTCAAATTTGGTACACGGTTGGGGACCAGTTAGTAGGGTGCCGTGCAAAAGTCATTTTGGACCCCGTTTGCACGTGCGCACGTGCAGACTGCCGCTTCCAGATCTCAGGAACGGCTGGGCCGATTGCATTCAAATTTGGCACACCGCTAGCGACCAGTTAGAAGGGTGCTTTGCGCAAGCCCGAAGCACCCTCTCGCCCTTCCGCACGTGCAGGGCTCACTATCTCGCTCGCTCGCTCTTCGCCCAAAGGCGTTTTACTGGTAGTAGAAAAAAAAACTGCTGGTTACCTTTCATGACCTGAGAAGACCTCAGAATCACATAGAGGGGTTACAGCCCATAGGTGCAATTTTTCGATTCAATGTGTCATGTTTACCTATGAACCGATGTTTGAGAGGGTTTATAATGACATTCGTCCAAAAGAGGCGCATTTTAATTTTCTCCCATTGACTAATAACGGAGAGGTCGCAAAATCGACCTGCCTTAGGCTACAGATATCAAAAATCCGAGACATGCGTTTTATACATACTGTTAACCAGTGGTCATCAAAGATACAATTTTGCCTATTTAAACATTTTTTCTCGAGAAACCGGCGCATAGCCCGGGAACCAATAGAGCTACAACGCCGCGCAAAAGCGAATTTCATAGCCCTCTTAGCGCTTTTTCTGAAAAAGTAGTTAAGCCTCCAGAGAGCAAAAACTAAAAACAGCTGTTTATATGAGAAAGTTTTTTTTCTGTAATAATTTTTGACTCAAGAAAAACACAATATTTATTTCGCCAGCATCGTGCTCCTCTCGTCGAGATGCATCGAATGAACTATAACTTGACCTTAAAAGGTCATTTTGAAAATTTGACCTCAGGCCTGACCTGAAAAAGTCCTGCTGCACATCAGTCGATCCGTATCGTCGATCTGAATACATCTAAGGTGTTTTCATTGCTCTAGCAGGTCTTTGATGACCTCAGGGACATAAGGAGGGGTCACAGGTGCAATTTTCCCATTCAGTGAGTCATCTTTACTTGCACCCCGATGTTTGAGAGCGTGTAGAATGACGTTCCTCCAAAAGAGGAGCCTTTCCATCTTCTCCCATTGACTGATGAGAGAGCATAAAATTGACCTGGCCTTAGGTCACCGAAATCAAAATTCCGAGACAAATTTTATACCATGCTTTTCCTGTATCAACGCGGAAAGCTTCAAAGCGATCCTTCATTCGGTGTAGCTATGGAAAACATTCTACAGTTTCTGAGGTAAGATCACTTGACGTGACCTAATGATCTGACCTTGGATGACCTGGGTCTGATTTTTTTACAGCACGTGCAAAAAAATAAACAGGTGTGCAAAAATGGTGAGTCAGAGCGCCGCCATTTTTGAGATAGGAAGGGAGGGAGGGAAGGAGAGAAGGAGGGAGTGAGGGAGTGAGGGAGGGAGGGAGGGAGGGAAGGAGGGAGGGAAGGGGGAGGGGAGCCGACCGGGAAACCGGACAGGCGAGCGGACAGGTCGAGAGGGAGGGAGGGATTGAAGGGGCGCCCGTGACGCGTCCATCCGGGTCACCGCTGTCACGTGTCACACGTCAGCGTCACAGCCGTGACAGGCCACCGGCCCCCTCCCCTCCCACTCCCCGGTACCGGCGCCACTTTTGGTACCGTCCGATCGTCAACGGCAGCAGAGGCGCAGTCAGATTCTGACAATATAAACCGGTCAAAATGAAGCTAGGGGTATGTGTACTAAAAAGGTGAACAGCTAATGCACTTACAGACAAATTCACCGCTGGATTTCTTTATCACACAAAAAGGGCCTGAGGCGAAATAGGTGCAGCTGCAAAGTATTGCGTGAAAGTTTGAGCCATTGTTCTAGTCGTATACGTGACTGATAAGCGAGATGAATGCCAAGGACATGCTCAGAAATTCTTCCCGCGTTAGGGAAACGACAAATTCAGTCTTGTCTTCACAAGTCAAAATGACACCGTATGGCAGTGACTCTATAGAACCATCTGAGAGACTGTGAGGTTAACCCTATTAGTGGCAGGGGGGGTTGTTTTCATCCACCCCTCAGGTTTTTCGGGAATATCTCCGAAACCGCTGAAGCTACGATGCTGAAATTTTCTGACTTTTCCTAAAACTAAATTGGTCACATTCCCTGAAAATTTCAAGTTCATAACTTTACCAGGGGCGGCTCCAGAGCACTGGGAATTGGGGGGTCCTATTCGTGAAGCGAGTCATTTGGGCGAAGATCACGATGCTGATGTATTATAACTGTATGCACCAGTTTTACGAACAAAGAATGAAAGGTATCATGTGATAACATATACAAAGTTATTGTGCATCCTCTTTTGACACGTTTTTGCTATAATAGGCGGATCCAGGCGTCCAAAAAGGGGGGTTATGTTTTACCTCCCAACATAGGTGCCCTGACACCGCCTATGCATGACCAATACAATTGTAGTCGTTCTCTCATAAGAAAATTGTAACATAACAAGACCATTGCCACCCTTTTTAGAAACAGTACCAACAAAAACCTTATTTACTATACTTTTTGTGTAGCCCCAATCTCAATGATCTGTATCCGCCTATGATTTTTAAAAATGCATATTTTTAGGATCCATGTGAATTCCTGGTTCATTCTCCATCGATCGGCAAGGGTTGCGTTAACATTGGTTCAGAAACCTGGCCGTGATAAACAGTCTGAAATGTATCTGCAATTTGCCCGTTTTTACCCCCCTCTACCCCCTATTTACATTTTTTAATTTTTTTTTTTTAGAAATGTAGATCACGTCGAGCGAAATCGAATGCCGTTTGAATTTTGAAAATCGGCCCGTTAGATCTCGAGATATCAGGGGGGGGGTCGTAAACAGCCCCCCCCCCCCTGCCACTAATAGGGGTAGCCAGGAGCCTGCCACTAATGGGGTTAATCCCCGCCGCACGTACACGGCATAGGCTGTATCAGCTTAGAGGTTAGTCTTCGATGTCTCGGCATTGTCCTTTAACCCTCGCATGTGTAGGGGGGGGGGGTCGGATGGACCCCCCCCCCCATGGTTTTTCGCGAATAACTCGCGTAAAAAGCGGCCGATCGCGACGAAACTTTCAGTACCCTCGCATTGATCAATTTGACACCTACCCTGAAAATTTCATGACCCTGACCCAAATGACCTTTGACCTGTGACCTCTTTTCCGAGACCATGTTTGGCCGGAATCGCGATTCGGCGTACGTCGGCTCGCATTAGCCGCGCGTTTGCAAGCTTTTCGTGGTTTCAAACGTTCAAACATGTGATTTGATGTTGCTTCCATGCATTAGGGTGGGTGTCAATGTCACCTGAAGGTCAGGTCAGGTCATTGACCTTTGGTGACCTCGGGTGACCTCGGTTCACTTTTTCGAGTTTTACATGTTTCTAGGCTAGTTTTTGGAGCTGAATTCGAATTTAGCAACCATTTGAACATTTACGAAGTAGTTTTGGTGCCTTCGTAACATGTTACGAAGCTGTCAGAGGCGGTTGACACGTACTACGAATACCCGTCACGACGCCTACTGGTTGACCTGACCTGACCTGACCCGACCTGGTCTAAATGCTTAAAGACATCATCTGTGATCAAAACTAACACGATATTCGTGATCAGCACCCCGAAAAACCCCTTAGCAGCCACACTTTACGACTTTCTAATAGGTCCCGATTTTCCCGACTTTGGGTCATTGACCTGACCTGGAAGGTCAACCAATGACCTAGGACCTTAAAATTGGGTATCATCGGCTTCCTCTCGTCACGGGCAACACGCTCGTTTTTTCCGCGAAGCTCTAGCTCGATCAGGGGCCAAACGGCAAGGGGGGGGTCCAACCGACCCCCCCCCCCCTACACATTAGAAGCTGTAAAACGCCGCACACATGCGAGGGTTAAGATACCTATTCATTCAGTGAACTGATGAAGAAGAACTGGGAGCGAGGAGAATCCTGGGGGTTCCACCGGTCCCTATATATAAGCATAGGCGCAAAAAATCCACCTGAACTGCCAGTGCGCTGTGCAGGGTCGCATTAGGTACAGGCACAAAAGGCGAGAGTAGGTGTACAACACGATCGAGTCATAACTCACCTCAGCCACATGGGAAGCATTGGACGCCTCGAGTGCCTTTATCTTGTCGTTAGCTATCTTCAGTTGCATCTCCTGATCTGTAAAACGACAAAAATATGATCAGTTGGCTGCATGTTATCAAAAGACTTAACGGGTGACGGGGACAAATGGCGGGAGAAAATGGCAAGGAGCATTCCGGGACATGGTAGGTAATCGGCTTTTCCGTTTTTCACTCCCATTTCCACCCTGTTGATTTTTGTTTTAACCATCGAAGTAATATTCATTCAACAAGACAATCGGTTTACTAGGCCATGTCATCTGCTGTCCTGAAGGAAAGCCTTCCTGAGGCCGATAGTCCCGAACGGACCTCGTTTGGTATTCGGTAAGGTGTGTAGCCACATCAACAATTTCATGCCCCAACTGACATCTGGTGGAGGATTCACAAAGTGTGCGCCCTTAGATGGCGCTGTACGCAATCCGAATTCGTAAGTGCGATCTCGCACACTCGTCGGAGTGATGAGCCATTGGGTTTGTAACACCCTCACTCCCGAGCCCTGGTTCACGATATAGCGAAAACACTGGGCGACACTCGAAAGGTCGTGCGAATGCAGAAACAATTAGCGGTATTCGCCGCAGTAGATTATCTATATATGCTAGTTCTGTGCCTGAATCCGATATCCGACATACGAACTGAAACATTTTCGGTGCTCAACCAACGCTTCCAACGCTTCTACCCACGAATGGTCCCTAAATAATACATATTGCCAAAAGCTACCCGTCAACTCATTAGAAGTGAAACGTCTCCTATCCGCTGCGCGGATGGAGAGTGGCGGACTGCGTGACCATCGACAACAGCCGTGGCACACGAGCCTGTGGAGAGGGGGCTCATCTCCGTTCCCTGCTTCTATCCTCAGGATACAGAAATCCTTCTCCTCCACGCCACAACCCCCTCCGGGCTGGATAGGCAACTTTATCTCATGCGGGCTGCTCCCTTGGAGCGGCACCAATGCTCCTGAGGGAGCGCACCCCGTAGCCGGGTGCAGTGAGTGCCTTGGGGCTGAGTGGCCTGTCCTTGGACGGGCTCAGCCCCGGCGACTCACTAGGGTGCCTGCCCAGACCAATGTCTCCCCCTATATCCTATCATCCTCCCGGCTCTGAAATGGTCTCATTGGACCGAAAGGGCCTAACCCAACAAAACAAACAAACAAACAAAGAGGGGGCTCCTCACGGGGTCTGAACCTTGGAACTACCGGGTATCGAGCTCCGTGCCTCTCAGAGCTCGGCGAGTGCTGCCCTCTGACTGCGTGTCTGAGAGTGACCAACTTTCGACTCCCACCGTCTGGCACGGCACCCAGAGGTCGCTGAGTGTTGCCCTCTGACCGAGTGTCTGGGAGTGCCCACCTTACAACTCCCACCGTCTGGCACAGCACCCAGAGGTCGCTGAGTGCTGCCCTCTGACCGTGTGTCTGAGAGTGCCCGTACTCCCACGGTCCGACACGGCACCTCAGAGGTCGGACGAGGTCAGTTCAGTTATCCACCGAGCAATGAATGCTACAACAAATCTACATTGCCTGGTATTGGAAATTTTACAAGGAGAGGCATAAGTTGAAATGTGGACACTGTCATAGGTAGACCAGACGGTCAATTGTTGCCTGTACTTGTCGCGACCGCACTTAAAACCGTCAGACGCTCGCGGACTCGCAATCCGTCCGCACTCGACCTAGAGCGGGTCCGATCGGCGGTGGCAATAAATTTGCACCAGTTTTCAGCAAAGAGCTGGGCAGGCTGGGCCAAATGCATTCACCAAGTGAGTGGAGCTGGGAAACCATCTAAACAATGCTAAAATTGTGATAACATGTTATTGCAGGGCAGCCACCTAGTACATCTCAGAAAGGTGGACAGCAGGTGTCCCATCACATGTGTTTGCTTGGAATCCACCCCACAGGCCACAACACAAATCAAACTGACTAAAGAACCATGGCTATCAACTATGTTTTTGACAGTAGCATGTTTACTGTATTTGCTTTAGTACCCAGCTATTCACCCAGCTAAAGTGGTGATAAACATATCTTAGGATGGAAAATGATACAGTGAGGTCATCCATCATTTATATCAATATCATCTGTAACACCAAAAGTCCTACAAGTTATAACACAAAGCGGGGAAGAATATGGGAAATTAAAACAGAATAACACAGTGGATTACGGGAACTTAAAAAGAATAACATGTTATTTTATAGCATCTGACTGCATTATATCACGGTGCTCAAAAGTGCCAGCTTTTTCAGACAGTGCATATCAACAGACCAAGAGGTGTAATCAATATCCTGTTTCATTATCAATATACCCAACTGTTCAATGGGAATGAGGAGCAAAATGTATTGAAAAGTAATCAAGATTTACATAAGACAATAAATACATGAGGTAAAACACAATAGACATTCCATGGTATAGAGGAAATAAAGAAAAAAGAGCATAACAGACTCCATGAAGTCTTAATTGTCATAAAGCCTTCTGTATTTGCTAAAGTAAGCTTGAACTATTGCAAATTTATTGATGTAAGCGGAAAGACAATAGGATGCTGAACATGCCACCATTGACTTTAACATACATAACTTTTCATTTACAATTAATTTAACCTGATTAATCAGTACATTGTAAGCTTTAAAATGCTTACTTTTTTCATTTCAATTTACAAGTGAAAGGTTCCAAGCTCATGCTGTAATGGAAAAAAGGTAGAAACTTACCATCAACTTCATCTGCCCCTTCTGCGAGTACTTCCTTAGCAATATTTGATATTTGGCCTTTGAGGCTACTGAAGCTGTCCCCCAGCCAGGACATGATTGAAAAACGAATCAAGTCCTAAGCTTGGAATTATGCACCACGACCACGTCAACTTCCTGCAAGGTCTCTGCAATTCAAATTGCTCCAAGACTACGCTTATTACAAAACAGGCACCTCTTGGCTTTGCACGTGGAACGTGCGTTAGGGGTCACCCATATGCATCGAGAGTAGCACACTATGTGAAAGAAGGGAAAAAGCTACCCCACACAAAAAAAACCGCACGTGTATCAGCCCAGTGGTTGCCGAGATATAAGTCGTACAAAAACGTCCCCACGGCGGCCGGCCGCTATTTAGCAGTAAAATCGTGTCGCATCCTTCTATTAGAGGTATCCCCGTCACCTGTTCGTATACTGTCTGAGCAAAGGCCATACGTTACGGTCCAAACTCCATAGTGAGGCGGACATACGAATTTACGAGAGTTTAGCGACGAAATGATTCACTTAATTGTTAAGTAATGGGTACCATTAGGTAGACCATAAATTTTATCTAGCATCTCACCGTAGATGCAGTAAAAAGTGCTTTACTTTTCAATGTATGTAAAGACTTGCTCAGCTCAATCAGTTCACTCTGTATTGGCTCAAGCCGTATCATGCGAACGCAATACAAACTAGAGCACCGACAGCGCAGCGCTCCCCAACTCACTGCTCGCCCAGTCCACCCGGGCCGCCGCCACGACGGCCCCCCCCCCCCCGCAAGTAGGCATCCCGCACTGCACCGACAGCCGCGGGCGACCAGCTGACCGGCCAGCTGACCGGCCAGCAGCCGGCGGGCGGCAAGCCACGGATGGCCGACCCGCCGGCGCGGCGAGGGAGGGGAGGGACGCAGCTGAAAGACCCGACTACATATATATCAAAGAATGATACATTATATGTAATCATCGATGACGCGACATAAATCTGCTTTATTGGGTTTAGCGGTGTAGTCTGTGATGCCATCACAATGAAAATAGCCTAGTTTTGTAGAGCATCAAATTCTGATTCCATAACGACTCTCGCTAGTCCATTTTCAATTGTAAATAAGCCTTTTATTGCGATGCAAAGTCCCGAAATGGTGCCGACGGCGGCCGGTCCCCCGATGGTACCATACCATAGATGGTAAACAGGTTAGTTCACATTCCCGCCGCTATGCGGGCGGCGGCGGCGCCACCTGTCCTCGTGTCCGCCTGACACCGTAACGATATAGGTCTGAGCTCAAATCTCGGTAATGTCGTGCTTTTTTACTATATTTCTCAAAAACGGCACCACGTGCAATAAAGTTGTATATATCATTGGAAAGAGCATCAAAAGTTGTATAACCTATCAACTTTTCACATAAATATATCTCAACTGTAAAAAGTTATTAAGCAGCAAAGACGCTCCCATTGACTTTCCATGTTAAAATTTTTCATTTTTAAACGAGCCTAAAAAGAACAAACGAATTTGCACAGCTTAAAGAAGCATAACAACATGTTCTATGGTCTTTTCTCAACAAGTCCTGGAAGTTTAAACAAAATCGTATCATATAATTTTGTACAATGAGCGAATGAAAAAGTCTCTGCAAAAATGCCCATTGACTTAACATGGGGAGCGAAAAAAGTTCAACTTTGACCTCGTGCAAAGTCACGTTACGAAGTTCTGAGGGGTATACGGCGCACACCAGCGTGTACCCAAACGTGTTTGCCATAAAATGCTGGGAAGAAAACCACCTCTTCCTTGGCTCGTTTTTCCGCTATTCCCGATCGCGCAAAAAGTGTCCAAAACCCCGTTGACTTAACATGGGGAAAATGGAATCGCACGTGCCACGTGCCACGAGGTTTTAAGCGAGTAGCGACCGGTGCCAACAGGTAGATCGCCTGCGGGAGCCCATACACTGAAATTTTTAAGAAAATCGAGCCACAAGTTTAGGCCTGACCCAAGTTGCCCCAATTCGCGGCCAGACATGCAAAACATAGCCCGGAGAACGACCGCTCCGGTTGTTTTTCAATAGAAAAACACAATTCTAACGAATAGTGTTTGTCTTTTCAAACAACCTGCGGTTATCAGCAACTACAAATCATTCATGGGCGTCCAGCATGTTTGCCTTTTAATTAAATGAGCTGTCTCGATAGACAGGAATCAATTACAGATCTAAAAATCATCATAAATTCGATTATATCCTGACAAGCCACCCAAACAACACACGAATGGGACGCGTCATCACCTGCGCAGTTGTTTTGAAAGTATAGCGCCATTAGTGTCGTACTATCATTTTCCTGCTGACTGCTATATTTTTGTTTGCTTGTCAAATAATGGTATGTTTGATTCGTTTGATCATTTAGGCCAAAACCTCGCACGCCATTACTTTATTTTGCTATGTTTGTAATGCAAAGACATTTCCTATCAATCTAAGGTGCCAAGAAATATCTACATGATTTAACTTTCTTGTTACACGACAATATATCCAGAAACCAGTCTCGTCCTAGTAGATTTACTAGCAATTCGTAGCAATTCGTAGCAATTCGCGCTCATCTAAAAATATTACCCAACGAAGTCTTGCATACGAAGAAAGCCGCCAAGTGGTTATCGTTTTTGATTGATGACAAGACATTGACATTGAGATGTCGACTGCAAACTCGTCCCGACCCTCACCCAAGTCTCTCGGTAGTCACGGTCATCGTGGATAAAGGATATATGTTACCAGCAGCACGGCGGCATCGCGCCTTCCGCGGGAGAACGCTCAGCACGAACTACCTGCGGTTTAGGTCCCATGGAATGCAGCATCGGCTTGACAGTCTAATACAGGATGCTCTCTTGAAAGGAGATGATGCATTTATCTTGCAGAGGACGGGAGGATTTCGTTCATCTTCAGTAGAGACAGACTTGACATGTTTCTTATGTATTTATCAGCTAACCGGTGATGCAAAACAAGCTGTACACATTTGGTATCATTCACTGTACTGTTTGGTGAAATGCCACTACGTTTAAATTGAACTCTCGAAAAAGTTCACCAGATGGCAGATGCAACATAAAAATCGCAGGCTCTTACAACTAAAAAATCGCCCGTAGTCACCTAAAACTAGCCACTAATACTCGGTAAAAGTTTCTATTCCACACGAAAACCACACAAATAAAACCAACTAACTTTCATCCGAGCTAAATACAGGTTCCAGATCACTCTCACATACAAGCGTACAACACAATCACCCCACTCATACTATAAACAGCACAGTTCGCACCCACTCGTACTATAAACACCCACGATCGCACATAGTGCATATTGAGCGGCCAATGCCCGTTCACCCGAAGACACGCACACACGTCAGACGGACACCCTTCGGACCTCTGCGCGGCGCCCCTGCCGCCGCGGCCGGCGGACGCTACAAGATGATGCTAAACAGGCTGCTGGACTGGCTGTCTTCCGCCAGCGAGGAGAAGCTGCGAGACAACTTGGCGCGCTTCGGGTCCGTGGCGGGAGTGCTGGGCGTCTTCCGCTTGGTCGTCTGCGGAGAGCGAGCCGAATGGCTGATCAGTGATTACTATAGTTAAGGAGTCAGGGAAAACAGGGCGGATCGGGGGCACGCGATGGGATGGGACGCCGGAAAAGAGAGGTGAAACTGGAGAAAAGTACGCAACTGTGACGGAAATGCAATGAACGTTAATATTGCATCGATAAGATAAGAGATTATTAATATCCCCCAGAGCCCCGGAGTACACGAAAGTAATAGTCACTGTGCGCGGGTCCGGCCGCTGCCCCAGCCACCGCCGCACCCACCGTACCTTCTCCTCGACGGTCTGCTGGAACTGCTCCTCGACCTCCGGGTCGGGCTCCGACTCGGACTGCTGCCGCTTCCCCATCGAGAAGGTGCGGTTGGAGGAGTTTTTGGAGGAGCTGCCGGCCGGCAGGCTCAGGGAGCGCGCCGTGGTCACCAGGCGGGCCAGCGCCTCCTTCCCCCGGCGCAGGAACGAGCCCCGGGACACCAACTGAGGGCAGGCGGACAAACCGTCAGCTAACGCACCAATACAGCCAGACACCCGGGAAATACCAGGGACACGGCGGGGAGACAGGAACGAGCCGCGAGACACCAACTGAGGGCAGGCGGACGGACCGTTAGCTAACGCACCAATACAGCCAGACACCCGGGAAATACCAGGGACACGGCGGGGAGACAGGAACGAGCCGCGAGACACCAACTGAGGGCAGGCGGACGGACCGTCAGCTAACGTACCAAGCCAGTCACCTACCTGACCACCACCGTCAACCATACAGCTAGCAGAGAACAGCCAAGAAGGCCGGCGTCGGTTTTGGCATCAATAAGCGTCTCGGTATTCGATCGTCCGGTACTGTTACGCAAATCGGGTCGGAAAAGTACAAAGAATGGCAACAAGACTGCAAGTGTATCCGTCACCTTACCCACCTTGACGGCCCGCGGGCTGGAGGGAAGCGGAGGCGGCTGGCCGGCCGGGCGGGCGGCAGCGGCGGGGGCGGGGGCGGCCGGAGCGGACTCAGCCGGCTTCTGTAGTCGCCGCACCACCCGCTGGCCCGGCTTGATGAACGTGAATCCGCCACTCTGGGGCTCCTCGTCCTCTTCAGGACCCTGGGCGGAAACGGGGAGAGGGGGCAAAAGTCACCGACCAGTGGAAATATAAGCAACTGTGGCGGGACATAGAGCGATGAGCCTACTAACGCTCCCCCTTCGACATAAAACGTTTCCAGTAAGGAAGACGAAGTAGGTTGGTAACTAAATGGTCAGAACGATGTCCCTTCACCGTGCCCCACAAACCTCTGTTCCGTCTGTTCCCACCTTCTGTCCGTGCTCCTGGAGCCACTTTTCTCGCTCGTGCCGCTCCATTCGCCACTTTTCGTCCCGCTCCTCCTCACCGGGGTCGGCCTCGTCGTCCGACTGGCGGCGCTCGTTCGAGTCGTCACCGGTGTCGTCTAAGGAAGGGAGGGGAGACGGTGAGGGACGGGGACTCGACGGGTAGAGCTCCGCACAGCGGCAGGCGACGCAGCGTCAGTGGTAGGGTAGTAGGGTGAAACGAGTAGCTACGTAACACGGTGAATAACGGTCAGGGACGACAACAGCCGAACAAGAAGAAATCACCACGGAGCGTAAACGTTGACTAAACCTCTAAGTTACCACCTACCAGATACTCTGAATGGTGAGATATCAAACCGGCGTTAAGTGACGACCATCGACGGCTCGTGGTCAGATGGACACGGCCAGTGAACTGCGTCCATCGCCGGCCTGACTGACCTGCGTTACTCCAGCGGAACTTCCTCTCGCGGCCCTTGCCGTGCAGGTCACCGTCCTCGAGGAAGCGCTCCTGGAACAGCTTCATCTCGCGGATGTCCTCGTCCAGCGCCTTCTTCTGGTGGATCCGCTCCACCTGCGGCAGATAAGAACGCCGGGATCAGCCGGACGTGCTCCTTCGTGTGCTCTTAACTATTCAGTAACTATGGATAACTAGGGTTACACTGCAATCATGAAGGTAATGCAATCCGGGGCGCAACGCAGGTTGGGCTCCTCAAAACCAACGCGAAACAATTAATAGCGATGCGTATCTAATTCCAGATACACCACAGCGAGCTTCACTTTCAAACCCAATCTCTACTCGCCCATTTATCTTGCAGTAAAGCGTTCAAGTATCCCCCCCCCCTCGCTCCTAGTTCCGCCCGTGAGCCGCACCTCGAGCCGCAGTTTTCGCTCGTCGATGAGCTCGGCGTCGGCCTCCTCCTCGTCCATCCTGTCCAGCTCGTCCCCGTCCTCCTCGTCCTCGGACGGCTCGTCCGAGCCCGACAGCTCCGCCTCCGCCTCGAAAAACTCCGACCGAACTCTGGGCGGAAAGGCGGACGGGGTTACCGGTCAGTCACCGAGGTATGCCTGGCAGTTACCGTTCTGCTCACAAATGCAATGATGTTCTACGGCTTATCAAATTAATGGTTCACAGCTTTCCGGACTCTGGTGTGGTTCCACTCACTTTTTCCGGTCGCCGCCGAGGAAGCCGGTGAAGTCGGTGGGCAGGGAGCTGTCCTCTGCGCGCGCCGCCTGCACGCTGTCCTCTCCGCTGTCCTCTCCGTCCTCGTCCTCACTGCCGGCGGCACCGTGTTCAAACGGCTCGTCCTCGCCGCTCCCCTCGTCATCTGCGGGGACACGGAGCACGAGTTAACGCCAAGAACAACGAACAATCAAAACCATCAACAATCATGTCTGTCCGTAAAGTGGGGAAGCACGGCTGCTACAGCCTTCATGGTGTTGACAGTCGATATCCGATGTTTCCGGAGTCATTCCGTGTACCCCACCTGAGAAGACGAGCCGTCGGCGCCGCTTCTTCTGCCGGACCAGCTGAGTGTTGGAGGCGTCCTCGTCATCGGAGACAATGTCCAGCGGCATGTTGGCGTTGCCGTCCTCGAACATGTCGACCGCCGACATCAGCGACATCCTGACACAGAGAAATGGAGCCTCAGACATCGCCTCACTGACACACGGACTGTGAATGTCGACCGCCGACATCAGCGACATCCTGACACAGAGAAATGGAGCCTCAGACATCACCTCACTGACACACGGACTGTGAATGTCGACCGCCGACATCAGCGACATCCTGACACAGAGAAATGGAGCCTCAGACATCACCTCACTGACACAGGGACTGTGAATGTCGACCGCCGACATCAGCGACATCCTGACACAGAGAAATGGAACCCCAGACATCACCTCACTGACACACGGACTGTGAATGTCGACCGCCGACATCAGCGACATCCTGACACACGGAGAAATGGAGCCTCAGACATCACCTCACTGACACACGGACTGTGAATGTCGACCGCCGACATCAGCGACATCCTGACACAGAGAAATGGAGCCTCAGACATCACCTCACTGACACAGGGACTGTGAATGTCGACCGCCGACATCAGCGACATCCTGACACAGAGAAATGGAGCCTCAGACATCACCTCACTGACACACGGACTGTGAATGTCGACCGCCGACATCAGCGACATCCTGACACAGAGAAATGGAACCTCAGACATCACCTCACTGACACAGGGACTGTGAATGTCGACCGCCGACATCAGCGACATACTGACACAGAGAAATGGAGCCTCAGACATCACATCACTGACACAGTGACACATGGACTGTGAATGTCGACCGCCGACATCAGCGACATCCTGACACAGAGAAATGGAGCCTCAGACATCGCCTCACTGACACACGGGGGAGCACCAGACATCGCCTCACTGACACACGGACTGTGAATGTCGACCGCCGACATCAGCGACATCCTGACACAGAGAAATGGAGCCTCAGACATCGCCTCACTGACACACGGGGGAGCACTAGACATCGCCTCACTGACACACGGACTGTGAATGTCGACCGCCGACATCAGCGACATCCTGACACAGAGAAATGGAGCCTCAGACATCACATCACTGACACAGGGACTGTGAATGTCGACCGCCGACATCAGCGACATCCTGACACAGAGAAATGGAACCTCGGGCATCGCCTCACTGACACACAGACTGTGAATGTCGACCGCCGACATCAGCGACATCCTGACACAGAGAAATGGAGCCTCGGACATCACCTTGGAGGAGGCTCATTGACATCGCCTCACTGACACACGGGGGAGCATCAGACGTCCTGTCACGGGCTGGCGGATGACAGTGCCAGGCGAGTACAGGGCATATTGGGCAATACACGGCCTTGATTGGGCGACTACGCCTCTGCTTCGTGAGGGGCTGGGCCTACAGCTATTAGACGGAATGCAGTGATCATAAGGTAGAAGGAAGCGTCTCATTAAGTTCGTACAAACTCCCCTGGAGGGTGACCCGACCCCGACACATACCCCGGCAGTGGCTCCGAGGACGGGCCGCGGTCGGAGCCCTTCTTAGAGGCCGCCCCGGCCGTCCACACGCCGTCTGAAAAAGGAACGAAACGTCAGCGCCAGAAGTGACACATCGAATGTGGGAACACGCGTTTGAATGTATACAACGAATATGCACGCAATTGCAAAGCTGGTTCGCACTGTGGGAAATTTAGCGGTTTACTTATCTGGCAGGCATCCAATCTAAGCAAGTCGGTGTCAGCTGAGTGACCCAAAGAAAAGCTGTCACGTCTGGCCTCTACTTGTGCAGCTAGAATGCCCAAATCAGCTCTTTTTGAGCCCAGCTGTAAGTGACACAGTTCAGTCGACCACCCGGCTACTTGAAGCCACCTGTAGGACGTATCCTGACCGACCTTTGTTGGTTGGCGCTGGCACGGAGAGGAGGTCCACCGGCTGGGTGTCGGCGCGGGTCACCTTCGTAGGGCGGCCAGAGACCGGCGCAGCTGCAAACGGAACAGGGGCGCCGAGATGAAAATATACGACCGTGGCAAAGAAGAAGTCACGCATCATCGATTTCCCGCGCTAGCTGCAGTGATCACCACAGCATAACCAAAGAGGTGAGCAAGCAACGGCGAGTAGCGACGAATTACTCTGTCAATCTACAACTCCGGCACAAAAGTCCGGCAACTGGGAACCTCACCGTCGAATTTCCCGGAGCAGAGACTCATCAGGTCGTCCATGGTGTCGTCCGCGGCGGGGTCGATCAGCGCGCCGATGGCTGAGCGGGGGCCGCGGCCGGCGGCGCCGCGCGGCTCCGGGCTCAGCCGCAGCGGCCCCAGCTGGGACAGCGAGTCGGGCAGGTCGTCCGCGGCGCCGGCCGGCAGCGCGTCCCAGTCGTCAGCCGGGGGCACGCTGAAACTGCCCGTCTGTGGGAGGGGGAGGCGTCAGTACAGAGCGTCCCAGTCGTCAGCCGGGGGGACATCGAAACTGCCCGTCTGTGGGAATATATGTAGTATAGAATCAATGTCGAACTCAGAACTGGGAGTGGACATAGTGCAGTAGTGTCGGAGTTATAGTGTTGTGCAGTAGCTGGAGCTCCAGGCACGCGAAAATGTAATCACACTCCTTAATTTGCGGACTCTCTTTCCAAAATAATATTGATGGGACCCTCTCATATTATTTTGTCATTAGCAGCCTGCTCCGCAGGCCGCGGCCTGTCCAAACCATGTCGGTTAAAACCTCACTCACCCCGTCCGTAGGCTGGGTGTCCGGCTCCCCGTCCACCGGCTGCGTATCCGGCTGTCCGCCGGTCGGCTGGGAGTCCAGGGCGGGGGTGAGCCCCGCAGACTCCTGTCCGGGCCCGTCGGCGGCGGCGCAGGTACCGCCGAACCTGAACCCTCCGCCGGGCTGGTGCGCCGTCACCAGAGAGCTGCTGGCCCGGTCAGAGTCCTGGGAGTCCGCCTGACTCGCTGAGTCCGCTGTGGAAAGGAGGGGAGGGGAGGGGATGTCAATACAGAGCTGTCGACGCGGTCCGAGTCCTGGGAGTCCGCCTGACTCGCAGAGTCCGCTGTAGGGAGGGGGGAGATGTGTGTGAGGAACTCACGGTCACAGAGTAGCATATGCTGCAGTGCATATTTCTACATACAATACCTGTCTCCATGGTAAATATGTTTAGTATAAAAAGGTTAGAGCAACAAACTTTGGCCAGCAACCATATCATACAAATTAGTTTTTACCAGGATAGTTTAGCGATAAGCTGCCTCAGCCACGACAGGACGATGCTTTCACCGTTTGACCATGCTGCAGCCCATAGCCTCATACTACGAGTATGATCCCGGTACAGGTGCTCCATATAGTTACCTTGTGGGCCGCTCGGCTGTGTGCTGAACAGCTCCGGCTCCGTGGTGACGCTGGCCCGACGCGGCGGTGAGCCCAGCAGGTCCTCTGCGGAGGGGGAGGGAGGGAAGCGTAAGGACGTCTGCACGGACCGCATCGCTGCGTTTCTTTGTACGGATTTCGTTAAGACGACGATACAGAACACACCATTACTGCTCTTACAGCGGCAAATTAATCAGGTGAATACGTTTGTCTTGTTTCAAAATAAAAAAATGCATAAAAAACATATGATTATTTTAACACATTCCATTCTCTAGGTTTCCTTCCTCACCATCGTCATCCTCGAGAACCAGCTTCAGTTCATCATCTCCTCCCTTCTCCCCCTTGTCCCCCTCATCTCCGTCTCCGTCTCCGTCTCCGTCTCCGTCCTCTTCCTCGTCCTGTTCCGCCTCGTCATCCACCAGCGGACAGCGTTTCCGCGGCGTCTCCGTCAGCGGAGGCTCCTCCTCGGGCTCTGATTCGCCGCTGTTACTGCTGACGTCACTAAGCTCCGCCTCCTCGTCCGGCAGGTCGTCTGGCGGTGTGAAAAGGTGACGTTAGAAAGAGAGGTCACAACAGTCCAGTGAAGTCTGTTGCTGCTAGTGATACTTTTAACGACTTATTTTACCTACCAGCAAGCACAACCATATCGCAATTCATGGTCTGCGCCCACCAAAAGGGCTCAATTAGTCTCAACACAATATCCCTTCCCTCCCGGCAGGTCAGACTCGCCGGCCGCCTATCGTCGCCGCTGACTCACCCAGGTAGCCGTCGTCCACCTGTTCGCTGTTGTACAGTTTGTACTGGCGCTCCCTCCTCTGCCGCGCCTCCTCCCTCTGCCGGCGGATGGTGTCGCGCAGCGCGCGCCGCAGCTGCTGCCGCTGCGCGCCCGGCGGCCCGTCAGAGGGCTCGGCCGGGTCACCGGAGGTCACCGTCACTGGCACAGAGTCGGCCACCAGCTGCTGGCCGCCCGCCGCGTCACTCTCGAACCGCACCAGGCTGCGGGGAGAGGAGGGGTCACTTCAGAACCGCACCAGACTGCGGGGGAGGGAGGGTCACTACAGAACCACACCAGACTGCGGGGGAGGGAGGGTCCCTACTCACTACAGAATACAGATCCGTGCCAGGCCGCAGAAGGAGTGAGGGATGGGGTGTCGATTGAAAAATCGTAAAAATGTGGTAAATGTTTCAGACATGTCTGCAGCTCTATGGTTATGAAGCTGCACCCATAAGCTGCGTAACTATCACTCAGAGTCGCGGGTATCCCTCCCGCCGTTACTCACCTGATGTTGACGGTTTTCTTCTCAGCCTTCTTGGGTTTAGCGTTGGAGTGGCGCACGAACCGCTCCACGAACCGGTCCAGCTCGGTCGGCTCGGGCGCGCCGCGCTCCTCGTCACTGTCGTCCAGTGAGACGACCTCTCCGCGCCGCTGGAGCCGCGGTGTGGCGCCCAGCACGGCGCCCAGCTGCGGCAGGCGGGCCGCGAGACGGGCCAGCCGGCCCGCCGAGCCCGCGCCGGCGGACGTAGAGGGAGCAGCGGCAGGGGCGGAAGGGGCGGCGGCAGAGGGGGTAGCAGAGGCGGCGGCAGCAGCGCGGGCGTTGACCTCGGAGGCGCTGTCGCCCGGCGCCAGGCTGGTGGTCTCTGTGTCCGCCGACACGGAGCGGGACTCCTCCGTCTCCGCCGGCCGCTCCTCTGCAGGAGGCTCCGGCTCGGTCTCCCCCCGCTCCCCGGCAGACCCGGCGGCGGGCTCCGCAGGGCCGGTGTCCGCTGCTGCTCCCGTTGCCGCAGTGCTCTCCGTCCCTGCAGCTGTGCCGGTCTCCGTCTCCATTTCCGTGTCCCGCGGCTCCGTCTCCGGGCCCGGTGCCGTTCTTTCGGTCTCAGTGTGCGTCTCCGGCGTCTCGTCCGACATGGGCGGGGTGTGGGCACCCTCTCCCGCCGGCTGCACCCCCTCCAGCCACTCCTGGACCTTCTGCGACGACTGGGACAGCACGCGGTCATCCTCCTCCTCCTCCCGCGCCTCAGGAGCAGGAGCAGCAGCGGCAGCAGCAGCGGGGGCAGGAGCAGCGGCGGGAGCAGCGACGCGAGCGGCGGGCGGCTGCGAGCTGTCCGCGGCGGCGGCAGCGCCGTCCGGCTTCCACTCCGGGTCCGAGTCGTCCCCCTTCTCAGACTCGGACTTGTAAAACTGCTCAATCTCCTTTTCCTTCTCCTGCAGCTTCTTCCTGTGGGAGAGATGTGATCGTAAGACAATGAGTGATTTTTGGACGGAAATATACATACGACTTCATAAGGTATGACGGTAAATGGGAGACGTGAGTCTGTAATAGCACAAAAATAGCAACTTGAGATTTGGCCGTCGTCTAATCGTAGCAGACGGCCAAATAACTAAGGCCGGATTCGGAGCCTTGCAGACGGCGAAGATTCTTCTTGACGTTACGTAGAATCTTCGCCATTTGTGCGAAATCGAACGGCATATCGAGTGCGAACGGCGAAGATTCTACGCTAGATACGTCACAAAGATTCTTCGTCAACTAAACGTCATCTCTATCTCCCCCGTTCATTCCACAACCCCTCCCCCCGTCCCGCGGTTCAGCGACTCACGTGATATAGTCGGCCTCATCGGCGGCCAGTCTCGGGTGGTCGGGCAGCGCGGGCGCCTTCTGTCGGCGCGCCAGGAACTCGTGCAGGGTCCGCTGGCGCGGCCGGTGGTAGGGCAGGTTCAGCCGCGACTCGCGCGTCCGCCGCTGGGCGGCGCTGCGGATCTGACGCATCTGCTCGGCCGCCTCCTGGGCAACGCGGGAATGCGAGGGTTGTGGTTGTAAGTGCATGCTGAAAACTGGCACAATACCCACATTTGTACTGACTTTTAACGAAAGTGTCAGAAAATATCCAAGACAAAATGCCACAAGAATTACATACCTGCTCGATTTTGCGCCTCTCAGCTTTCTTCTTCTGTGGCTTTTTCTTTCTGCCAGACTTGGTTGTTCCCGCTTGGTCTTCATCAGCATCCATTGCTGGCTGTTGGGAAAAGGATGAACCATAAAAAAATGGCAAATGACACACACCAAAAGAAATGAAACTTTCATATCCAAATGAACTGCTACGTTATAAAAAAAAAACGTTACATACAAGGCACGCAGATCGTCCTATCCGTCCTTACCGTGGGCGAGGCCGGAGTGTCGGGCCGGGGCCTCTCGTCCTCTGACGAGCTGTCGGCGAGCGCCATCAGCCGCCTCATGTTCTTCTCCTTCCTCGTCCTCTCCTCGTCCTCAGAGTCCCCGCCGGCGGCCCCTCCCTCCGCCGGCGGCCCGGCCCCCTTCTCGGCTGCCCCGTCCCTGCCCGAGCCGGGTCCGTCCTCCTCCTCGGAGTCGAGGACGGGCCGGCGGACCCGGCCGCGCGCCGGCGCCTTCCCCGCCGTCTCTGACCCGCCGTCCGAGTCTCCGTGGTCGGCCGGCGGCGGCGCTGGGTCGGACGGCTCGTCGTCACTGTCCACGGCCAGGCGGCGCGCGCGCGGCCGGTGCACCGGCTCCTCGTCACTGTCAGAGTCTGAGGCCCGTCCTCCGTCCGCCCGCTGCTGAGGGCTGCTCTCTGGCTGTGTGTCATCGTCACTGGCAGCGGCAGGCTCCTGTGACTCAGCGCTCACATGGTCCTTACTGGGTGCGTCAGCTGCAGCTGCCTGATTACATTCCTGAGATGATTTCTTAGCAGACTGGCTCTCAACAGTGCTCTGGGCTGCAACAGTTCCAGAAGCATTGAGCTGTTCTGGCTCAGACTGACTGGCTGCCATATGTGCTGCTGGAGTGTTGGCAATGCTCTCCTGAATAGAGGACTCCACCACAGCTGCAGCCATTGCAGCAGCAATCTGTGCCCCTGAAAACAATAATGGTGAGGTGTAAATTAATTTTCAAAGACTAGCAGGCAACCACTATGGTTTTACTCACCTTAATCTACTTAAACAATTATATCTTATTTAAATGCATGAGTCAGGGTTATGATTAATCTGACCACTGCATTGCCAATTCACCCATAGCATTTAATGAGAAATTCAAAGAACATGCATGCATCTAGTGATCTGTCCATGTGGATTTCTTGGTAAATAAGCAAAACAATGCATGTGTGATGTGGACTTAAATTGAAAAATGAAGTGGCCAACATCAACTGGCAATTGGCCTCAGAAAGACACACTAAGCAAGATAATTCAATTGCATTTAATGCCGCTGGACTGAACAAAGAAAAGGCTGAAAAGTGGATCCATTATGAGCAACAGCAATGCTCTGTGCTGTGACTTGTCACCATCAAGTTAACTATCAACATCATCAGCCCTTGAGCATTTATGGACTTCTTCATCCCTAACAAACTTCATTTTAAACCATTGAGAAAGTCAATAGTTCTTACTGTTCTTGAACTTAGCATCTTTTTGACACTCTGTACCTCGTACCTCGTACTAACTAATTAGTAAGTACCCTCACTAGTCTGTTTAAGTACAAAAGTGGTAAATTTACAATAATACCAAGAGTAAAAAAAATAGATCAAGCCAGCAAATATGGCAAGAATCAATTCCTTCTCTAGTTTGCTTTTTCACTGTAGCTTGAGCTGCGAGCCTCCTTAGAGTTTACGTCAAGCTTGAGTCAGAGAGACTTTCTATTTCAGCCTACAAATGACTTCAAAATGTTCACTTTGCAAGTCAGCGGAAAAATCTTGGACACAACAAAACTAAACGATAAATCTACATTTTCTCACTTTATTCGCGCTGTTTCAGTTTCATCCCAAAACGCAAAATACGACTGGGAGCTGTGAGCATCATCAGTCTCTTTGATAAATTCCGCGCGCTTTATTTGTGAAGGGATTTGATGAAGGGATGGTATGAAAATAACTCTATAAAAATCTCACTTTTTATTTCCCCTATCTAAAAATATAATTTGCATGTAGGTAATTCAATTTAAAAGATAAAGTAAAAACCCATATTGAAAAACGATACTTACATCCAAAAATGCCAAAGGAAGCAGCAAGCAGAAAAATATGATGTTTTTGCTGGTAACAATTTTTCAATCTGGTAGCTAAAAACCTTCAAGAACTGTTTCAGCTGATTCCTAATGATACAACACTTGCGCATCTGTTACGAGTTTTGGTGCGAAGCAAAAAAAAAGTCACTGAACTTTATAATGGAAATGCGCCTTCAGTTGGTGACATACCAGGGAAATAAGCTAAAATTAGAGCGCTCTATTTATTGCTCCTGCCCCATGTTGAAGAGATACCCCTAAAAGCGCGATCTTTTATCGGCCCTTACGCAGCAAGGCAGTAATTCTCAGACCGGTGGATGGTATCAATAGAAAGAGAATGCGTCAAAGATTAACATGAATTAATTAAAATAACATTAAAATGTTAATTAAGCGTGGAAATTAGTCCCAAACATAAGCTAATTATTGCTCCTACCTCGGCGACGGCGCTCCCCGCAGTCGGCGGAGAAGCTAAAATAAAAGCCACCATCCTCCTCCGTAAGTCAATTTTAGAGCGGCCGAGTGGGCCGATGCGGGGCCACCAAACTGAGGTGAGACGTGGCTAGTAATTGCAAACCGCCATAGAAATCAATATCTTAAGACGTACAATATGGGATGATTACTCTGAAGCTGGAGTGAAAGCATGAGTAGATTGCAAGAAACGAAATGCATAGATTGGTTGACTTACGTACAATAGGCACAGCTCAGATGAAGCCATTTCTATGATGTTGATATATGACATAACCCTTTCTCTCCTCACCTATGACCTAAGTGCATTGGCAGTTACCGGCATAGTTTTTGAGCACGAGTGTAATTCGCCATCGGACCGCAATACATGTTGCTAGGCTGCTGCAATTACAACGAACATACGAATACTGCCTTCATTTGTAGACGTTTGTTTTTTAGGCGGTCTTTGACGTGCAAGGGGGCATACCTGTCGACAACTGGAGTTTCTCCGAATTTCAAAAACTCCCAGGATTTCAATTCCTTATGCACTGTTGTAGGTACAGCTATGTTCAGAAGTTTTCGTTTCTTCCTGTTCTAAAAAGGATGATATTTGTCGATTTCGTGCGTCGCTGATAGGAGGGTGCGTTTAATAATTAGGCCCAACGCTTTCTGCATCCGCGAGTACCTTCAAAAGGGAACAACAGTTTCCATTTATTACACTATGGGACATGTGACAAAATGACCACTGGAACACGCATGAAACGGAGCTCATACTCCTAAAAATGTCTACAATCACTTCTTTTCTGACACTATTAGCAAATACCATCTCAAGTTAGGTGGTTGACAGACAGTCAATGGAGATCTGGGGAGACTGAGTGATGCCAATTCACCACTTAACTGATAATGAGGGCCGAGGGAAGAGAAACATGCAACATGCACAACTGACAACTTGACAAGTGACAAAACACTACCACTATTGCGCAGTGCACAACAAATTACAGCAGCCAGCCCAAAAAATGCTTTTGGTGGCTAATTGCAAAACAAGTCACTAATAAATGTCTTAGTTGCAGCTGAACACTGCACAATAATCACACTGTTCACAGCTTCACACATTGAGTGAGATGCCACAGGTGGTTTGAATCACACTTTGGTTCAACTGCAAATCTGAAGTGTTGTCATGAGGTTCATGCCTCCATGATCACAGCACTTTGGTTGTGGTTGGCATAACACTTGTAGTCTGCAGAGTTCCACATGAACTGCAGACACCTCATCTGGTGGTCTTCATGTTGCTCAACTTCTTCAGGAGGCAAATGTCGACCACCCAGCGGAAGCATGGTCCTGCAGAAAAGAAAGGTAATGCATAAGGTACAAACATTATCTGCTGAAACAGCTCCTTCTGTTGGCTGTTATTAAACTTTTAACATGGGTAACATAACAACATGTATTCCATGTATATTACATTTGTTGAAGTAAGATACTGCCGGCTATTTCAAAACCAGAAAATGAAATTATATTGTGGCATAATTCACCTGCTCAGCTATCAGTATCAAATAATAATTAATTTAATATTTGGCATATTCTATATAACACATTCATAGAATATTCTACTTCACGTCACAAGGACACACAATCTTCCTGTTGGGTGTTTGATTGACGCATTAACTAAGTTTGTCTTAGGTTTTATTATTGCAAAAAATTCATATTGCATTATTGTATCAAAATACTGCCAGCAATAACAAAACAAGAACATGAAATGCCAATGAGCAAGCCGCCTTTCCTTAAAATGGATTACTTTGAAAGGAATTTTAGTTTCTTTTAAGGAAAAGGAGAAATGATTATCAGGTAATTATCAGAAAACCACTCAACCAGCAAGTGGCTGGGTGGTTTCACAGCAAACATCAAGCCAAAACATATACTTCCATCTATCTAACAATTGAGCCATTTAACTACTACAAGGATATGTGAGCAAAATAAGAATCCAATCATCCAATGTTGACTTCCTTGCAAAGTTTATGCCTTATTTTATAAAAATGTGTCACTAGAATATGATACTTATCATCGAATATTATTTAATTTACGATTTATTTCGATCGGAATGCACATGGAGTCCCGCGCCATTTTCGTCGACGATGAATATGATCGTGTTTCATGAAGAGATTAGGGGTTTCAATGGTCTTTCAAAGCAATAATTTGATGCAAAAATTTGTAGGAAATAATATGAAGCTGGTTCAAATGGCCATCAACCATTTAAAACACCGAAAATACTCACGACTCCGTCCCGACGACCACGCAGCACCGCGCACGCCACAATACTGGCACAATGCCAAAACTGCTGTCACAGCGGAAATGTTTTTTTTTCTCGATTGCAATTGTGGAATTATTTATTAAACAGAAGATGATCTTTCCGAAAAACCGACTGATTTCATACACAGATGCATGGAAAATAAAAAAATCCCGGTAAGTTTATTTGTATTGTTTTGTCGATTTTGACATGCTCCTAGTTTGCAGCCATATTTCGATATGTTCTACAGGGAGTTCAGAATTATTTCAGGACCAATCTTTTCCTCATTCATTTTCCCGTCGATCATGAAATTTTTAGAGCGGAACAATTGGTTTCCAGGCGGTCCGAGCGGTTTTCGTGAGAAGGGTGCAAAAATCGGCGTCATTTTTAGAGCCTCGACACCAGCTCAACACAGGACCCTATGGGAGACGGTGAAGTAGCGGGAGCAATAAATAGAGCGCTCTAATTTTAGCTTATTTCCCTGGTGTGTCACCGACTGCCTTTAGTTCTACAAAATAAGCAAACACAGCCCAAGGGAATTTACTTAGGGTAAATTCTAAAGGTAAAGTTGCAGGAGATTTTTCGCTTCAGCTTAGGTGTGTGCAGTCCGTCAGCCTGACGATAGGTGCGACACGCCAGATATCAACAAAGGTGAAAGAACTTGCCTCTATGTTTTACCTAATATCAATATTGATATCAATAGCCTCCCACTCATGTGCCTGCCAATTTTACCTAGGATCTGTCGGTGTTTTTAACCTAGTTACCACAACCTTGCTTCTGTCCTTTTTGTGGGATTGACCATGACTAAGCTTATTATTTGTTAATTTCAGATCTACTGCAACCAAACATTATTGGAATGGATCAGGCTACAACCCAACAGGTTTTTCAGCCTGATGGTGAGTGGAAACTGCAGCTTAAAATATTTTATTTTGAGGTCTAATGAAGCAATTAAAATAGTCTTTTGGAGCAACAAAAAGGTACCTACCTTATACCGACCTACCTAGCCTATATAGGATTATTATCTAGTAAGAAGTTTTTTGTGCTTTGTTATTTGAAGATGTTTGGCTAACATATATGATTGTTAACCTTGCCATGCCACCCTGACCAGAGCGCTGTTATATCTATTGACAGAGCACCAGCACATCCGTTACAACCCCCTGAAGGCTGAATGGGTGCTTGTTTCTCCGCACCGCTGCAAACGCCCCTGGAGTGGTCAGGTGGAGAAACCTGCTGAGGAGGAGGTGCCGCCTCATGATCCCAACAACCCACTCTGTCCTGGCAACACTCGCCCCAATGGCAAGGTAACAATCTAATAAATATCCTTTCCAGGAAAAACATTCATGTTTCTTAACTAGCTGCACACATTCTGTCTGCTTCTCACTTACTTCAGCTGTGTGCTGCTCCCTCACCAAATACAATCCATCTCCATAATGAGCTACATATTTGGTGCCTGAGGAGTAATTTTTTTCAGCACCAGGATTCTGATACCCCATCATTAACGAACGAACCAATGGGATAAACTGAGGTCCTGTGGGGGCTAATACAGTCAGGCTGATAACGTTTTTGGCATCTGTCATACAGAAGAAGTGTTGGAAGAAGTGAGGAACTAGACTGAGTCTGTGTACACACCCTTACTGCATCCCATTAATGTTGGTGGGGGATTGAGAGGGGTAAGCTTGCAGTTACTGATGGTGATAACTGATAAGTTTGTTTATGTGTGATACATTTCATTTTGATATGTATTATGTATCATCTGTGTTATGCTATACGGGTGGCGTGTATTGATTGCACTGTGTTGTGTTTCCTTATGCAGTATGTTAATGCCGCGAACTTTGCTCACGCAGTATCGTATTACGCACCACGTAGTGTGTGGCATAGAGCCGCCCCAGGTGTATTTCCTTACACAGAGCTCCGCGATGCGAAAAATACAGCCATCAGTGTTCTTTTAGTAGCGGAGTTAATACCGTAAAAAGGTTTTCCGATGGTATTTTTCCGCACTCGGTGTTACAAGCGGCGAAAAGTGTCGTCCGCCGTATGCGATGAAGGCCGCTCCGCCCCACCGCCGCCGGTTGCCCGTTACCATGGTGGGTCCTTATCGCG